ATTTCATACAAAATAGATTTCATTCATTAAACAAATGGGTGAAGCTGCGTAATAGAAGTTCACAAAGAATGATTTATTTTCATTTGACACTTCTAGTAGGCATATATCGTTACTTTAAAATTAAATATAGGAAGGCGCTAACTCAATCAAATTTAGCTCTCTTTGTAGCCGACTATATCGATGGCCGTGTGGAAGATCGACCCATCTCGGCAGCCAGTTCGAAAACGCCCTATCTCAGAAAATTTTTCAACAACGTCCTATTTCTGAATTTGGTTCGTTCAGGCGTTCTATTTTAAAATTTGATTGAAAAAGATCCTATCTCAGAATTCGGTTCAAAAACGCCCTATCTCAGCACATTTTCAATAGCAGTATTCTCGAAATCTTGCAAAGTGTTTGCACGTAGCACAGATTGCATAACTTGCAAATACATAACAACAAAATACATGGAAAACATCATTTCCTATCGCTGCAGAATGTGCAACGTCGAACCCCATGTATATATTTTGCAAAAAAGCATAGCAAGATAAATGCGACTCTGTGCTAGTTGTTTTGTTGCTGGAATTGCTACATATTTCTCTCATTCCTCTAATTTCGTTCACTTTATTTTTTTTGCTGTATCTTGGTATTGTATTTGATACAGAACTTCGCTGTTCTCTTTTGCGATGAGGGGCTCTCGTACTCTTGCAAATTTGGAATAGTATTTTTGCATTTGATATATTCTGTGCTACGTGCAAGACTTCGAGAATAACCCTAATGTATTTTCGTTTGGGATAGGGCGTTTTTGAACTGAATTCTGAGATAGGGTGTTCTTCCACCAAATTCACAGATAGGGTGTTTTCCAATAAAATTCTGAAATAGGGCGTTCTCAATCAAATTCTGAGGTAGGGCATTCTTGAAAAGTTTTCTGAGATGGGCTGTTTTCGAATTGGCTGTCGAGATAAGTCGATCTTCCACTCAGCCATCGATATATAGTGTTAGAAAAAGAAAAAGAAACCGATTCCTTTAATACGATTTCGAATATCTATTATTTATTTGATATTCCAGTCGCAGTCCAAAACGGAGAACCATCAAAATCACTTCTACCTTGTTGGATATATTTACTATATAGTTAAAAGACGCGTTTTACAAGCAAACATATTTTAAAGTAATAGAAACCATTAAAATAAAATTCATGTTCAAGATAAGGTGAAAATTAAAAGTTGCGTTAGCAAAATAAATACATTGATCTCTAGTAAGTCTTCAATTAAGTACTTTGTAAATTCCCTTATCTCTTATTCACATTGAAGTAAAGCTTTAGGCACAACATAACACCTGTATTTACCAGCTTCTGGTATTGGTTTCTTTTCGACCCATTCATCACATTCGGCATTATAAACTGACACGGACTTTGAGGTCCAGCCTCCGACAGCCCACAGTTGATCACCTACAAAAACACAACCCATGCCGCCACGTCCAACCTTCAAAGAGCACATCTATGAAAAGTAATAAAAAATTGTATTTTGGTGTTTTTAAATTTTTGGTGTAACTATTTCAACCAACCTTCGTCCATTTGTCACTTTCAGGGTGATAACGCTCGACTGTTTCATTTTCCCAACGGCCACCTAAAACATATATGCATCCATTGTGTACGGCTACCTAAAATGTATCGTAATCGACAAAAGGTAAATTTTACAGGAGAGGTTTTTTTAATTCTCCTTATTGAATGATAACTTTCTAATGGGACAATTTATTTTTTGCATACCTTATTTTTTAAAGGTAAAAAGGCGCTTACGATATTTTTCCTGAACATGCTGAGAGGAAAGTTATCAAAGAATTGGCGCTTGCGATAGTTTTTATGTTGTATAATTTGGATATTTATAAACGAAGGAGTGCCGGAACTTAAAGGATTTTTTGAAAAAACTGAATTTTAAGTCAATTAAATATAAACATTGTCAATCAGCAGAATAAGCTCAATATATTTTCAACTTTAACTGTTTGGCGCATCTACTAGATAGTCCACAAGTTGTCTTCGTGGATGCAGAGTTTAAGCTCATTCAATTCTCTACAAACTAAAACGACCACTTTGGCGCTACTATTTGGTATTTTTTCACGTCTTTTTTTAAAGAATGAGAAAAAA